AGCCTGAAATGCTGGCTAGGTGACCACTTGTTGAGTGGAAGTGAGAGCAATGCAGCAATAAAGAGGTGGGTTTAATCTGGGCGCTGACACCCGCGGACCTGGTTCATAGGGATTAGAGGAGAAGATGAGAGCGGTTGACTGGTCTGCAGTTCATGACCTAGCCCACGAGGGCTGGAGTTGCTGAGCATTTGTGATGGGGGACATGGTCTAAAGGCAAGGCAGCCAACGGGCACCCTGATGAGGCAGCCCACATTGAGTTCACCAGACCCCGACCAGATGAAGAGAAACGTTTTGACACACTGCACTGCACTGGTGCATATTGCTTCTGACTTTATGGATGGCCTGTCCTGATTTGGCTTTGCTTATGGATTCAGATTCACAAGGTTCCAACTGGAATGAAGATTTTTCACACCAAAGATTAAGATTGCCTCCTCGGAGCACTGGCTTGCTGTAAGTGGGCAGTACAGAATTGGACACCCCTAAATTGGCAGATAAAGGCATGAAGTGGCTGGCCTACAGACTTTCCTAAGTGGGGGAATGTATCCATAGGATTATAGGATTAAGGTGTAGGTGTTCATTTAACTGAAATTGTTAGGCATTGAATGTTTCTGTTTTGTTCACATATAGAATATGATGTTTAAATGAGACTGGCATCTTTTGAGTTGCATGCATTTGTGTTTTATCCTGTTAGGTACAATATGATTTTATTAGTATTTTGTTGGGAAGTATGTATGGTTAAAGAGTTGTGTAAGAGTGTCAAATTGACAAGGGGTGGTCTGTGGCGGTTACATAATCTGTCAACTTGCGAAGGGGTGGAGTCTAGCCTGTCAATCAGACAGTAACCAATGAGGCCTCTGGGTGGGTATGGCCTTCTCCTGAGGATTCTGGGAACTCCTATACTCCTCCCTGGAGGTGGGAGATACTCTCTGCCTTGTTTCCTGGTGACAAGACACGTGGAACTACGCTAGAGCCCTGGAGCTGGAGGAGCCATGTGGGGACCCCTGCCAGCATTGAGATGTTTCCACGGCCACTGGATCCACAAGACTTTCCACCACTGGCCTGTGATCTTCCTGCATTCCGCATTATTGCAAGTGCTGCATGAGTCAGAAGAGGAATTTATTGATTGGCATTGGGCGTGTGGGCTAATATCGGACTTATGGACTCCATCTGGGCTGGGCTGGGATGTTTTCTTAATAGACAATTACTCTTTATATAAAGCTCTTTCTTCTACACACA